AATTACATAGGTAAAATTACATAGATAAATTACTTAGATATTTATAATTTAGAAATCCCTTAAATTGTATTACATTAAAATATGTATTTAATTAAATATTATATTATCGTGTGAATGTTTTTTATTAAAAAATTAGAAAATATTTTATACAAAAAATTAACAATAAATTAACGATTGCGTTAGAAATTCTTATGAGCACATTTAAAAAACCGCAAAAAGTGTATGTCATGTTAAATGCAATCATAAGATATTCAGTAATAATCGTAATTGGTATAATAATCAGAATTCAAAAAATTTTGAATTGTAGAAACCCGATAATTTACGTAATTTTTGTCTTATTTCATGTCATTCGATTAGAATAATAAATAATGAAAAGAATAAAATACTGACGACATTTTCGTTGAGCTGCCATTTACGTGCATCTGCTGTTATTACGTTAATCCTATTACAGAACGAAAAGTGTATTGATGAAATTAAATTTTCAGTAATTTATTAAAGGTTGTTCGCTCTAGTTTTACACAGTTATTTTATTGTCGTTGATGCAATTATAGCAGTTTAAGCTATAAAAGCGTAGCGATCATGTCTTCTTTAATTAGCCATTACGAAGTTTAAAACGGATCCGGCTTTTGTTAAGTTCACTAATGAAATTTTGAAGGAACGATGCGCGCGGAATGACCGTGGCAGTAACAACATGGATTACCGTGATGAGGTAGGTTTTTCTTTTTGTATATTTTGTGTGAAACGTTCTTTTTCATACTACCACATAAAGGTTTATAAATTAATTTTATAAAATGAAATAAGAAAATTTTTTTTCTTTTAAATTAAAAAAAATTAATTTTTAACAAGAATTTTGTTACAAAATTAAATTGAAAAGATATAAAAAAATTGGGAAAGGATTTAATATGTGGAGATGTAACAATTTTTTGCGTCATTTTTTTATATTTATTTATTATTAATTTTTTTTAAATTGAAATAAAATTTATTTTGAAAAAATTTTAGAAATATACAGTTAAAAATTAGAATATTAAAAAAATTAGAAGATTTACGATTCTGTTAATAAATTTCAAATGCACAATTAGATGATGCGAGAGCTTTATGTGGTTAATTTGTGAGTAAATTTTCCTTAATAAAATTTTAGAAATTAGGTATCACAAATATTCAAGGTTGGATAAGTTAATGTTTTTTTTAAATTAAATTAAGTTAAAGTTAGTGGCTTATAAAATTAATAAAATTAAGTTAAAAGTTGAAGGAATAAAGAATTAACTTAATAAAAGTTAAGTTAAGATTGAATTAACTTAAGTTTAAAAAAAAAGTTAATTTAAAAAAATTATTTTTGAGATCAGAACGTCCTATAATTTTTCTTAAAATGAGATTTTTAGTGTTGATAGTGAGATGTGTTATTTTCTTTAAATAACACTAACAAATATAAATTTATTTTTACTATTAGGTAAATTTAATTTTGTATTCACATGTAAGTTAGTCACATAAGAATCATATCACAAGGCGTTTTTGTTAAGATCTTACGAAAGAGAAGGGTATATGTTTGCATTATTTCTCTTTCTTTAACCTTTCACTTTCTTTAACATCTGAAACGACTGCTCATACATGTTTACGACTACATAGACTAGATATATATTTGTTACAAAAAATATAGAAAAATTTAGAAAATGGATGTGCAGTGTACTGTTCTACAACAATTCTTCATCTAAGATTTTTCATATTTATGTTGCTGAAATATAACGTTTATGATACCTTAGTGTGATTTAAATATTATGTAAGCGGAAATTTACAAAATTTAGCGAGTCAATAAAAACTGGTTACTTGGTATGATGTGATTCTCATCATAAAATCGTTAAACTTTTTCTAAAGTAATTCTTTAATGTTTGACTTTATAGAAAAATATTAATATTAAGAGAGATAGAAAAATTTTTAATTTAAAAAAAGTTAATAAATTGAAGTTTAAAAGTAATTAAATTAAGTTAAAAATTAATCCATTCAAATTTAATTAAATTACTTGATATAACTATTACCCATCCCTGAAATATTACAGACATTGCAGATATTATAGAATATTTTCCTAGGTGTAATTTTGATATAATAAAAAAAATCATTAATTAATTTGCTTCTGATGCACACATAAATCTATTGATTCTATCATAAAATATTGATTACATAAATGCTCTTATTTGTATCATAGCTGGCTATTTATTTATAACTAGTGTCTCTCTATCTCTGAGGGTTAATAATCTAAAAAAACCTGCACGTGCAAATATAGACATTATGAGTTATGAATCCTTAGAGATCTTGCTTTATTACTATCTTTAAATGTCGGTTGTACTGTCGATTTATGATTATAATGCAACTAAACTCTCGTTTTTTTATAAGTTTTCTACAAAGACATTTTCAACAATCATTATTTGATAAAGATTGAAACAGCTGTAAAATATCAATAAATTAGAATTTTATTCTAAATTTTAGATTTTTATTCTAAAAATATGAAATTATAATAGTAATAAAAAGAATCTAAAAAAAAAATCTTGCTTATTATGACATTAATTTTATTTCAACAGAAAATAATTTATCAAAAATTAAAAATTTTGTTAAGAAGATATCAATTACATATATTTAAAGATCTATCGATAAAAGTATTATATAAAATACCTTTTGCAGTAATCTGTATTAATTTAATCAGATTTATTAAAATTAATTATCTTTGATCATAATCTAATTGGTGTCTCTATTTAATTATTCTTTAATAGTGTATATTTTTTAATAAAACTAATTTTTGAAATAATTTCGTTAGAAATCAAATATAAAGTTATTATAGATAAAGAAATTAAATGTAGTTATCCACATTTCAAGTCATGATGTTAAGTAACTTATATTCGGGATAGAACATAATTTCCTTTTGGCGATTGAAGCTGTAGGTCTTTAATGAATTCAAGACCATACCATTTGAACGAATGCTTCGTTACTTGTGTAATTTTTTGTTATGTTTTTCTCTCTTGTTTCTTTTTTAACATTTACCTTTTATCTTACATTGCTTAATTATACGATATGATTGAGATTTATAAAGCTCATATAAAATCATGATTCTCTTTATCGTAATTGTAATTTGTCACTTCACTTTTACTGCTTTTTCTACCATTTCATAATTCAATCTCGCTTGCGACGTTTAGTTCCCGAATGCTTCCTCGTTACGCTATGCAATTTGAGATCGCAATAAATCTCGTCAAAGAATTTTTGCGATCACATATTTTTACAGAGAAATTTATTCGAAAAAAAATTAGGTATTTTTTATTTATGTCATTTTTCTCATTTTGTATCACCATGATTATTTCACCAATTAGTTTCTATATTTGGCTTTATTACGTTACGCTAATATAAGGATATAAGATCGCAATAAATGTATACTTATATTAAAATTGCACATTTAAATATTTCTTTAAATAAAATTATTATTTGTTTAATATCAAATTGTTTTAATATTTTAACGGCTTATTTGTTTTATAATTTGAATATATATTATTTTATCATAATTTTAATATAATTTTGCTTTGTATTTAATATCAGAGGAATTGTTTTTTTAAATAGAATTGCGAAATTTTTATAAAACGATTTCTTGTGATTACTTTATGATTATTTTATTTTTAATATTCGACGTCAAGTAATATTGCGAATATATGATTTTTCAAACGTGTCAAGAAGCTTTTATAGAAGAAGAAAAAACATTTTTTTCGGATCGACAACTTGGCAAGCGCTCTAAGGGTTAATTTGTGAGTTAAGCTGGTGATTGAACGACCACGTTACTTAAATGTGACGAGAAAAATGACGAGAAAGAAATGAATATCTGAAATGAACTGCTTGTTTCCGTATAAATTCTGATTTTTCATAAAATTTATAGGTATTTTCCTCATAGGTTACATTATATAACATTATAAAATGTGAAATATAAATATATACGTAATAAGAAATTGTGCTCGTATAAGCAAAATATATAAAAGTAATGCATTATTATGAAGTTCCTAAATAAGAAATCATTTTCCGTTTCAATGAGTTCATGCACCGCGTAATTATAAGGGAATACCTGACTTATGGTTGATAATACATAATATGCTCTAAGAATGCTCTAAAGTTTCTATCTAAAGTAAAATTTCTGATTAGATTTTTATATACATATATTGTCACGATATGATTGACACTTTTTCAGATAAAGCATACTTATTTTTAATGAAAAACGAGTTTAATGCATTGGATTATATAAAAAAAATTAGACATAAATTTTTGTTATATGAATTATTTTCAAAATTAATATCTACAATATATATGTGTTTTAAATATTTATTTAATATTTATATATTATTAAAGTTAAATTTTTCTTTTTTGTGGAAAAAGATTTGACTCAAAGATTTTTGTTTGAATTTAATTATTGTATTGTACAGTATTGTATATACACGCATATTATTATTGCAACAATACATTTGCGTCGATATCAATTTTAAAGTATCATATATAATTAAATTATTTTAAATAAACTTTTCTGAATCTGTTTTAATAATGTACAATTTAAATTCCAATAATAGTTAATAAGAAAAATTATCTTATTGACTGATAATTATATAGTACAAATACATAGAATTTTAGTTTTGTAATAGAATTTTTTGTGATTGATTCTTAACCTATTTTAAATACCTGCGACAAAATTACGCTGGCAAATCTAACTTTGTACCGAGACAAAATAAAGTGTCTAATTATAAGATTTTCATACGATAAAGAAAAAATAAAATATTATTATCAATTCTCAGAGATTATCACGATTATCTCAAAATATCGCTCATAAAATGTATGTTAATTCATGATTGCATCGCATGCTATTTGATCGCAAAATTGCTGTGTTGTTCGCATAGAATGTGATCGTAAAATTTTGTTCGCGAAACTATTAATAGAGTGTCACGTCTATGGCGAACGCAACAAGATCTTTCGTAAAATCTCGATTTCACCTGCATAATCACCTGTCGTTAGTCTTCTCATCGATCATGCGACACTCGAACTTTATCATTGCATCACCTGGCATTTTCGTTATCGTGAGTCACGTGTCTGTTCGAGGGAGCATATGGAATCGAATGTACTTTGAATCACTTCCACTATATCGAATTTAATCACAATTTTGTTCATTAAAAGCAGGAAAGATATATCGAAGAACTTCTTCTGTTAATACATTTTCTTCGAAAATTTGGGGAATATCTTGAAAATTCCACACTCAAAGACAATACCAGTTCTTGTTCATCGATGAGTTACTTTGCCTTCCTCGAAAATTTCTTAGTGTTCCAATATTATCCACAAACACGCCAATCAATGATTTATGTCACTCAATTCGGTTAGTTATTCTTCGCCCTTTAATGAATCATACATTTCTAGAATTTATATTGAATTGATTCGCAGATTAACGATTCTGTATTTTCGAGTGTACTTTGAACTAAAAAGTTAGTAAACCCGGTTTCTATTTACAAAAAAACCGAAGCACTTTTTTTTTTTAAAGTAAATCCTTTATTTTCGGAAGAAAACTTTTAACTCGTTTCTTTATTGTTGTATCGCGTAATCTGTCTTAATCAGAAAAAATAGGAAAAGTTAATAATCCGAGGATTCTTGAAGTCTTAAGATTAGTTTTAATTCTTATAAAAATTCTTGGTTAATCGTCTTTTGTACGACTTGAGTATCTCTACGACTCATCCATTAATACACTTGTTTTTTCATGAACAAATCACTTTATCTTTCAAAAAAAAAAAAAAAAAAAAAAAAGGGAAAAGGAGCTCGTTATCCCCGAAGGATTATCCGAGACTTCTTCGCTCAATTCAAATAAATCTCAGGTTTTTCTACAGAAAAACTTTTGGATTGATTAATTTTGATCCCCAGAGTATTTTGATAGTAGTTGTCCAATAATTTTTAATTTTTTCGAAAAAAAGGAAAATAACTTTACTCTAAAGTAAATATACCAAATGTCAATTCACGTCACTTGGTGTCACTAATTCACAATATTATTCACTTGTTAACGATTGTAATAGTTATTATTATTAAAGTTCGCGTTAAGTGGAGGTACATATTGATTTGTATTGTCTATAGTAGAATTTAATAAAGTTTTAAGATTTTATTAGCACTTATCACTTTGGTTGCTTTACTTATTTTATTAATAATCTTATTGACGATTAATATTAATAGGCTTGAATTTGATTGGAATTAATTTCCGTTTACTGCTAATTCACGGTAAGCGTACATGTATAAGCTCGAGTTATGGTTACCAATCATTGATTGTTTCGAACCACTATTAAACTTGCAGGTATTATCTTGCTGGCAACCACGAGTAATTAATTGTCCAGAAAGATGTTGTTGATCATATCATAATTGCTAATCATATTAAATCTATACTAACAATCTTGAATCTGTATTTCTTATTATTTATTGTTTATTACTCATTCATTATTTATCGTTGATTATACACTCATTAATAAATTTATAGGTAATTTCTTAGTTTACATGATGAACACTGATGATTTAAAGCCAAATGATTTCAATGGCGTACTATTTCTCGCCAACTGTTAAATATATATTTCAGTTTTTCTATTTTATGGCACGTTTCATTCTGTGATGTTTGTTTCCAATCATATCTTGGCCGCTATTTTTACACTTTTTTTTTAAACTTTTTATTACGATCGACGATCTGTGGCACGGCCTTGTTCGCTCCGACGAGAGGCGTAAAATCAACAAGCGGTATCGGAGCGCTCTCGCGGCGCACTGAAGTGCGTCTAGCCAGGAGAAGAGAATCGGCAGCGTCGCGGCGCGTCGCGTCGCCTCGCGTCGCGCCGCTACAGAACGCGAGTGCAACGAGAGTGACCCTGGCAGTGAGTGCCGCCTGCGCACTCTCGTTGCGATATGCCGGTCCTCTCCTCTGAGGTCCTTTCCCTCTCGATCTTCGGCTTCGTATTCCATCGCGCCTCTTTCACCCTTTCGGGATTGTGCGATGTAACTCTGACTTTGTAACTCTTGGCTTTCGAGAGCCATCCTCGTTTTCTCACCACCTACACTTCTTTCTTTCTCACATCTGTGCGTCCACACGTTCGCCAGCCCGTTCATCTGGCTCGTTCCTTGCGCCATTCATACGCAGCACTAGGAGTTTCCCAAACCGACTGTCACAATACGCTAGTCTAAACTTGAAGAACGTAAACAGAAACTATATTCTCTTGTTCGTATAATATTTGCGTCTGAATTTGAGCCATGTATCATTATTCATTTTAATTCTTCGCGCGCACAAGAATCAAGTGAGATGTTGATGTAAAAAGGATGGCATGAATCAGATGGGATTTTGATTGAGATGAGAGATTCTGATGAGATTGTATTTTAATCACATTCGATTAGCAGAAAGATTTGATACCTTTTTGGTACGATCTTTGAAGTGATAACGACTGTTGTACTTTATTAAACATTTTTTTATTTTTATTTTCTTATAATGTTTCGAATTTGATCTTATTTACTTGATTTTATTTTTTCTAGCACCTACACGAAAAGTATAGGACTTTGCTGAAATATTTTAAAATTTAGATACAGATCTGAAAATAATTGTATTAGATTATCAAGATTTATTATATAGAATTATATAGAAAATTCAAGTATGATGAGCAATATTGAAAAAAATGGATAAGATACAGAAATAACTCGCGAAACACATGACTGCATTTTTTTTTGTACTAGTATCACTTAAGTTCCTTGAAATTAATTAGTATCTTTTAATTAGTATAAATCAAATCAAGTTACAAACCCAACGTCGATAACTGTGTTGACGAATTCCAGAAGTTAATAGTCTTTAATATTTTATTATTGTTTAAGTAAAAAATAATGCAGTAAAATGGAAATTGCTATTCTAGTGAAGTATCTTACTTTATAATTGTTTATTAAATGTCTTGATAGGTCAACAAAGATATTTTTAGATCTGTATCTAGCTGAATTTTTAGATATTTCAGCAAAACTATTCTTTCCGTAATATTAATATATGCGCCCTGTTTCTTTCTTTTTCTTTCTATTTCTTTTTCTATCTGTCTATCCCTGCATCTTTTAAATTTTCTGGTTACTTCGCATTTGTATGTCACGCGATGTGCAGAGCGAAGAAAATTTTTTAGCGAAACAAACAAAAAATTCTATCACTTTTCTTGTTTCTTTAAATCTTTATTCTATTTCAAATTTAATCTCCTTGGACACGAGGGAGACATCGGAAACATCATTTTCCTTGGGCGACTTGAAACAAAAAAAAATTACTAAATATCCGTAAAACAGCGCTTTAAGAATCGGATACTTCCTTCATGTTTAAGTTTGATTTGACATCAACGATCCACGAGCCTGACTTTTGCCCCACACACACATTTGCGTGGATTTAGCCTCGTGGTGGTCTCTTCGCTTTATTTTATGTCAGATTATGTATGGAAAAGTTAGCTTGTTCATAACGGTTCATAACATCAATTCAGTTTCGAATTTTTTGTAAAATTATATTAAATATTTTTTCGGAAACTAGGCCGTGAGATTTTTGATTACTCAAACAGTTGCACGATTTATATTTTATAATATTTACATATCATTTTTAAATTGCGTATCGTTTACTATTAATATTGATCATGAATTATGTAATTATAATATTCTATAATAGTAATTTGTTTATTTAACTTAATTATGAAGTTATTAGTTTTTGAAGAATTAATTAGTTATTAATATAAATTCGTGTATTAGTTATTAATATAAATTTGTATGTAAAAACAAGAAAAATATATTTACATACATATTCATTTTATTATTTGTATAATCTTAAAAAGCGAATATTTGAAAAAAATAACAGTTATAAGAAGCTTAAATATTTAAATACGCAAAAAATTCTGCAGTGAATACAAGTTGTAAAATCGTTTATTCACATACATATTTTTTAAAATGGTTCCATCACTATTTTTAACTTGTGCTCTTTGCCCTAAAGCGATATTATTTTTTACTTGAATTTTTATTTTTCATCTTTTTCTCTTTTTGGTATTACATGCTCCCGTTTTTTTTGCTCGGCATTTTTTTGGCGTTATGCGCTCGAATTTTTGATCGCATGTATTTCTACTTATGAGAATTTATTATATAAGCTCCAAGATACATCCCGTATCAACGTATTTTTATAAAATATATTTAGTATTCATTCTTTAAATTATCTCATTTTTTACACTATTTTACACTTGATTTTACAGTATCAGATTGTTCCTTGCTCTGATGAAATAAATTACAATGTTCACGAAAATGTTCACAAAACGTTGGCGTTCTAATGATGCATCGAGACACAGAAACACATAGCTTCAATCTTTTTTGTGCTAGTTGTATCACTTCGGTTCCTTGAAATTAATTAGTATCTTTTAATTAATATAAAGCAAATAAGTCTCACAAACCCAACATCGATAACTGTGTTGACGTCAACTCCAGAAAATTAATAGCCTTCAATATTTTATTTTTATTATTGTTTAAGTAAAAAATAATGCAGTAAAATCGCATTGAACATGGTTTGTTCTTACAATTTTATCGAAATTTTTACAGATAATTTCACAAGTTATACCTTCATGCATTATTTGATTTAAACCGACAAAATAATTTAAAGAGATTTAAATTTTAAATCTCTCTCTGAATACACGGTTTTACTTATTACGGTTTTACTATTACGGTTTTACTTATTCTAATGGAGTTTGAGTTTAGAATAATGAATAGATTTTTCTTTTCCCATTTTTTTAAATATTTATGAATATAATAGGCAATCTTTCTGAGGGTACGAGATAATATAATTACCTTATACGATGTAGCATCATTCGCGGATATATCAGCGCATAAATCAAAATTAAGTCCGAATATTGGGCCAGGAAAGCTGTTACGATCTCTGTAGTTAATTCTGACTGATTTATTGCGATATATCCTTTGAGTGATCGCGATAAACCTCGGTACGGATTGTGCACGATAAGCCGTTGGTCGTTTGATTATAGGCCTCATTCTATTCGATTGCTCGTGAATTGTTTTACGATGCCATATAAGGGTGAGAAAAACATAAGAGTGGAAAGCAATATACTTATTTTTCGAAAGTGACATATGATATACAGGATGTTTCTAAAATAACGCTCACTAATCATACAGTACTATTCCTAATAAAAGAACTGAGTCGAAAAGTTCTACCATTTTGCAATTTTCGCAATAACGAGATATTAATTTCTAAACATTACCGAAATTAAACTACAGATAAAATCGATGTATAAGACAATTTTCAGATATTTTTCAGTGTTTTTTATGAAATATTTTAAAGATGTTTCTTAAAGAATTCTTAAAGATACCTTAAAGTTTTCTTACACGTTGATTTTAGACATTTTGCTCATTGGGAAACTAAAAAAAAATATTGCGAAAATTGCAAAATAATAGAAGACTTTTCGACTCAGTTTTTTATTATAGGAATAGCAGTGTATGATTAGTAGGCGTTATTTTAAAAACACCTTGTATAACTGTCGATTTTTTATATTTTGTTTTTTATATTTGAAATTAGCCTTGTCGTAATATCGATTCAGCGCGGAACTACGTTTTAGCGGAGAGCAGATAGTGATGTAACGCTGTCACTCATGGTTATAGATTAGTATAGTATATCGATATACGATTCAATGGAAAACACGATTCTTTGGCGTAAATCATCTCCGTAAAAATATAATCGACGCTGTTTGAATGGAGATGGGAAATTATTGCACATAATAATATATAACGAATTAAAGGAATTGATAAATGCATAAGAGAATTTTAAAATTATCTTCTCGAGAATAGAAATAAGAAAAGATTTTAACATAAAAGTATGACACTCCTTGTGAGACACAACGGACCATGTCTGGGTGTCGCTGGCAGATGTTCAATGGAGGAAGCCGTCTCTCAAGTTTATTATTATGGTTCTCCTTAGAGGAGAAAATATATTTGGTCTTTCGATTAGAAATATTATTTTTTACGATTTAAACTTCACAATTATTAATTCATATTTAAATACATAAAATTAATAGTAAGCAAGTAAGACAATAAAAAATTTTTTTATTTTAATATAAATTATACTTAATATACATATATAATATTTTATGTATGTAAATATAGAATTGTTTTACGTTTCTTTTTTCTATCTAAAGATTAAAGGAAAGTTGCAGTTGCAATTTTGTCGTAATCCATCATATAATTTTCCTTCAGTTCGAGAAAACGAGAGGCTGCATTATTACACTGCAGTAAATTAATTATGTTTTGTAAACGTCAAGACAGGAAAGTGATTACACCACTAACGAATCTCGTGAGGATGGTATTGTTGTATTGTTCACGAGACTAGATTAATTGCATTGCGTCGATCGACATCGATCGATAGACTACAGTCTTCTAATCCTCACTCAGATATCACACAATAAGACAAAATTACACAGCTCATACTTAAATTAATAATTAGTTAATCCAGTCAATCCAGTTGAAACATTCAATGGATAAGCTAGTTTAAATGTACTGTCAGAAGCAACAAAGTTAAATTAATTAATATTCATAAATTGCAAGTCATGATACTTTCTTTCCCGTATTGTTAAAGCAAATAATAAAAGGACATTATTAAAAAATAAATAAGTAAATTTAAAATAAAATAAGTAAATAAGTAAAGTAATAATCAAAATAATAAATTTTGTTTAATAATTCATGATTTCGACATATATTATGAACGTAGAATGAAATTTTACTTTAAATTTTAGATTACAAACATTGCAACATAGCTAATTTTGCAGCTTATAATTTAAAATATAGGTATCTTGTACTTTGTACTTTAACAACTTACTGTATTTTATCAAGTAATTTTAGTGTGCATA